GGAGGTAAATCAGAGGAGCACCAGGAGGAGTACACACTGCATACATATGTTTTTCTTCCTACTCATTGAGATGATAACCCACTCCAGAGGGAGCTGTGACAATACTGTTCCATCATCGTGTTGTCATTACTGACATAAATCAACTTTGTCGTTGGAGGGGAAGAAACAGACACGAGCTATGTTTACAAGGACACACACTGTCAGAATAAAAGACTCTTCATGTAATCACCTCAATCAGAAGAGGCTGATCCTATCCAGGCCCACGTTAGATCCATGTGAATAATAGTTCTGATCATTTCTTCCTGGTTAGTGTGACACTATTCTACCTGTGCATGTCTGCCTCTCTTTTCAGCTGCACATGTCTGGAGGTCGTCCTGAGCTCTCCCTCTGTTCAGCTGAGCGTGCAGCTTAATTGCGAGAAAAGAAGACACGAGTATTGTTTGCAGTACTCGATGCAGGTCCATTTAAAAAAAAAAAAGAAGAGCCACAGATCCAAGAGAAGAAAAGAATGACATCTCTTGCAGACATCGATGGGGGCGAGCGGAGGTGCAACATCTGGAGGCGTTCAGCGACAGAAGTGTTTGTTTGCAGCCCAGGTAAAGTTGATTTTTACAGTAACTCTGGCGCGCTTAACAAAAAAGCTGCTTTATATTAACGATCCCTCCTCATGTTGAACTTTGCATTTGGAAATCACTGTGTGATATTTTATGGAGCATGGAGTCAAGTCACAGATTTCCTAGCAGTTAGGAGGCTGTACTCCTCCAAGTGGGCGGCCTGATTTCAAGTCTGACCTGTGGCTCCTCCCTCACATGTTATGGCATTACGGTGATACCGTAATCAGTCCATTACACCAGTTTAGACGCAGCCAAAACTGCCAAAGAGGAAAAAAGCGAAGAAGAAGTAGAGACCATATAGAGAGATTGTCTGTATTTTTCACTGAATTGAGGCATGTTCATTCAAATATCCAGCGGTTAACATTTTGTCCCAATACTCTTTAAAGATATATGTTTGGGGCTTTTGCCTCTATTTAGATAGAGCACTGGATAGAGTAGGGAACCAGGGCGAGAGAGAGAGAGTGGGGAATAACTGCAGTAAGAAAAATCAAGCTCACCAAGAACTGTACTTGGGAAAAACTCAGGAGGGAGGTACGGCCAATCACACAACAGTTCTACATGGATGTGTTTTACCTTTGGTAACATCACTACTGGCTCTACAGACTGTGATAGTGATCATATCTTTGTGTTTATTGGCATGATACACTGCAAAAACTGTTTTAGATACAGTCATCTAATTTCGAGTCACTCCTAGAGTACAACGCCGTCATTATTTTTGGTGTTTTCTTTCTTTTAGTAACTGGACTTGTTGGGTGAATTTGGCTTAAAATAAAGGCAATTAGATATTTGTGTCGAGAAATTGGACAAATAAATTTGTTTAGATTTGTGCAGTGTAATACTTCCATTCAGGTCTCCAGCTGTGTTGTGACAGCATGCATGCAGTCTGCTGGCACGCAGACAGTCCAGAAGCTTCAAACTTGTGCACTGCAGCACAACCTCCAGAGGTGTTAAAGGTGCACAAAGCGCCCAGTCAGCCCCAAATGCAGTAATATCAGCTAAACCTGCAGATAAATGGGCTGTGAACCGAGTAAACAGCGGTCACATGTACGGACCAGTTTTCAATTACCTTTGCGGTTAACCCTGCAGAGAGGTCCCCATCGCTGCAGAGCACGGCAGCTCATCCCTGCATCCCCGTCTCTCCGTTCCACCCTGCTCTGCTCTCTCTCTCTCTCCTCTCAGAGTAAAGCTGTTCTCCATGCATGTTGGGCGCGAGTCCATCATACTTCAGTCATACTCCAATGGGAAATAATAATTGTATTCTTTATAGTGGAAAGTGTGTAACTTTTTCAATAGCAGCGTTGAACACCTATTTAGTAGCTTTACGAGGTTTGATGATGTGATACTCCTGCTGCTAATGGTTTCTAGGTCAGGTGGATGTATTGAGAGCTTAAGAGCTGCTATAAAAAGCTATAATAGTACAGAAGAGTCATCGAGGAAGGCTACTCTTACCTGTTAGCGGATGTAACCCGCTCGTCGTTATTGCTTTTTTTCATTGCCGTGGATTACAAACGATGAAGTAGGATTTCTTTTGATTTTAACTGACTCAAAGAGTGTGCAGGTAGAGTTGTGTCTCAGCTGAGTTGTTCTGCTTACATACAGCACACACTCTCAGCTCTGAAGAGGCTGAGTCACCTCACACAGACGGCGTGCTTTCAGGGTCAAAGGGTCATTCACTGGATGAGACTGGAGACAGGATGAGTCCGTTTTAAAACATCTCATCTCTTTCTTCAGTCATTAGTTTCCCTGAGAACCACGACGCATCACGGCAGCTCATCAGAATGTGGCTGGAATGCAGTGGTAAGAAATGAAGTGAGCTCAAATCCTAAAAGCATCACTCACAGACAGGTAGGTGGAGATAAAAGTCTATTGGCCTATTGGAACATAAATTCAGGACAATTTCTCAGACTATCAGAGATTCATATCGTCTGAATTTCACTTTCAAACGTGTCTCACACAGTTTATGTTAGATATGTTCTCAAACAAAGGAAATGCTCAGTTTGGAAATCTAAACACTGATTGGTTTTTGTACTACAGCTTCAAGCTGATTTGTTGCTCAGTGTAAATGTTTGATCTACAACAGATTGTTTGCTGTACTTTTATGCACGGATCCATTAAGGAGATAAATTGCCATCAGACTACGGCTGACGGCATCCAGGTCTATCCTATCGGATGATTGTGTTGCTCTCCATACGGCCTCTTTGTCCTGCAAACAGGAGAGCCTGCTGTTAAGTGATTGGCAAAAGGGGATCTGGAAGACTTCTCAAACCATGCTACGTGTACATGTTCGACATTTTTGTGCAGAATCTACAATTATTGGTTCATGAAACTGATCCTACAATTCTTCCTCTCTGAGCCTGTGGGCATCATGGATGATCTTGAAACCAGACTCAATGTGTACCTGCTGTCAGGACAGAGGAGAGAGATGCAGCAGCATACCTGCTGCAGGAGGAGTGCATGCTGCAGGAGGAGGGCATGATGCAGGAGGAGGGCATGCTGCAGGAGGAGGGCATGATGCAGGAGGAGGGCATGATGCAGGAGGAGGGCATGCTGCAGGAGGAGGGCATGATGCAGGAGGAGGGCATGCTGCAGGAGGAGTGCATGCTGCAGGAGGAGGGCATGATGCAGGAGGAGGGCATGATGCAGGAGGAGGGCATGATGCAGGAGGAGGGCATGATGCAGGAGGAGGGCATGCTGCAGGAGGAGTGCATGCTGCAGGAGGAGAGCATGCTGCAGGAGGAGGGCATGCTGCAGGAGGAGGGCATGATGCATGAGGAGGGTATGATGCATGAGGAGGGCATGATGCATGAGGAGGGCATGATGCATGAGGAGGGCATGCTGCAGGAGGAGGGCATGCTGCAGGAGGAGGGCATGGTGCATGAGGAGGGCATGGTGCAGGAGGAGGGCATGATGCATGAGGAGGGCATGATGCATGAGGAGGGCATGATGCATGAGGAGGGCATGATGCATGATGAGGGCATGATGCAGGATTGCCTGCAGGATCTGTAAATCTCACCTAAAGAGAGTCTTGTTATCTTTTGATCAAAGGAATCGTTTATATTACATACTTTCCTGTTTAGGAACAATGGACGTGTTGGACATACCACTGTATTTAAAAGGATTCTTAAATAATTCATTTGTAAAGAAGCATCTGCTTTATTCAGTGTTGGCATGACAAGCATGCTGGGTCCTGTCCTCCTGCTTGTTGTTAAAAACATAAAAACATGATTTTTGGACTCAAAACGCTGATATAATTAAATTCTTTAACTCCCTGAATATATAAAAACAAACATTTTAATTAATTAAGAAGCATAAAACACATAAAACTCCCTGGTTGCACTAATTACTCCCTCTCCCTCTCCTGCTTTAAACTCACTCTCCCACACACATGCTGAGTCTCTCCCTTTGTGTCTCAGTCTGCAGCCTTCACTTCACTGGTGGTGGATATCACGAGTCAAGATGGAAAGTGACTGCTGCATGACATGATGCTGATGCAACAAGAGAATAAATGCACAGTTACTGTCTGTGAGCCTCTCCTCCTCAGTCTGCGGCTGAGCTTCAAACGGTTTTGTTAGCACACTGAAGGTGGATAAGAAATGCAACTTGGCAGAGAAGTACTGGGTGGAAAATAAAGAGATATTTCAGTAAGTAAGTCCAAGTCCAGGGCCGTATGTAAGGACCTACTGACTGAAATTTTTAAGAGTAACAAGTACCGTCAAGTCCAGTATGTAAGCATCTTATATAATACTACACACACAATCATAAAAAGTTCAACTATGTCCAGCCTTGAGCCGTTTTCACATGTGCAATCCAGCTAATTTCTAGATAATTTCAGGAGGACTGCCTCTGAAATCCTCCTGATCTGGTTGTTCACACATGTACCTTACAGTGTGACTCTACCCCGGTCAATCGGGAGGGGTAGCGGGGGGTCTCCTGAGGTAAAACTTGACTTAAAAAGAACGATGAGGAAGTAGCAGATGAAGTAAAACAGAGTCCGGGTGAAGTCTGAGTGAAAAGTTTGTGGTCTGTTTGTGTTCACACATGCAGCTCCTCCTGAAAACTTCAGGATCTTTTTCAGGATTTTTGTGCAGGTGTGAAAGCACTAATGGTCTGTATTTAAGCAGATGTTGGGTAAATCCTGCAGGTTATATTTCCTGAAACAATGAACTCCCTTGGTGTTAAAGAAAGTGGGCGTCAGTTTTTGCTTTAATTTCTTCTTAATAAATAAAAGTCTTGGGCAGATTCACAAAGCTTTTCTGTAACTGCAGAAATGTTCACACCTGTGTTTTTAACACTGCCATGTCTGCTTTAGTCTTGAAACAAGTTAAATATGTTTTGATTATCTGATTCTAACACACAGGGACTTACTGAGGAATAAAAAGGACTCACCTGTCTGATGGTCCTGGCCACCAGGCTCTCCAGCACGGGTCCTCGGTCTTCATGGAGGAGGTGAACTTCATCCAGAATGAGGAGACGCACGATCTGCGAGAGAGCCACGTCGCCGACACTCTTCCTGGTCACGACGTCCCACTTCTCTGGAGTCGTCACCAACATCTGAAACACACATGATGACGAGTGGTCAGACAATAAGAGACAACACAGCTTCTTTTTTTTTCTATCCTGCTAAAAAGAGAGAAAATGTGTTTGATTTATGAAAAGGCAACGATGTCTTTAAAGGCTTTATATGTGAATTTTTGATCCAGCAGATGTCGCCCTTGAGCACCAGCATGAAACCAAAACAACTCGCGCTGCATTGTTGTGTTAGCATGCTAATGCTAGCGATCTTTATTATGCTGGTATCTTCACACTGCATGTAAATTTACCTGAAATGAGCGTGATCTAGAAACACAGTTAAGCAGTGAGTACAGTATGTTATTCTTCTTTTCTCTAGTCCCTCAATTAAACAACTTTTATACACGAGGGGAGGAGTCAGCCGGCCGTCCTGGCGATGTAAACAAAGTGAAGATAGGACTCTGAAAACTCTGAAAACATCACAGACAGTGGGACTCGGGTGTTACACCCATTGTAGACAGTCATGACTCACAGAGTTATTTTCAGAGGATATACTTGATTTCTACATTTAAGTGTGAACAATCACATAGAAAGACTTTAAATCGAGTTAATACAGGAGATGTATCAAATCAGATTCTTTAAGGACCCCTGTGTATGTTAGGGTTTCATTTATTACTATTTTACAGCAGCAATTTTTTTCATAAAAAGGCAAAGAATCTGCATCATTTCTCAAAGTAAATGATAGTTTGTGGCGTCCGTACTGGGACTTGGGTTGGGATCATGAGGGTCAGCTGTGATCTGGTTCTCCACCAGCTGCACCTACTGTATAGATGTTTACAGTCCAGGAGCTCTCTGAGATATCTCATCACATTTACAGAATAGATCTCAGATTATCTCTGTTTTTTCTTCACCATTTCCTGCGCCCTGAACTGAACGACACACGGTGTGTAAAAAACCCCGGAGCAGCACAGTCAAAACTCCCTCCAGAGTACGATGTCGACCTCACGCTTCATCGATGCTCAATTGCCTGTAGCTCATTACGATGCAGATAGAAGCACCTTAAATCACAACAGCATAATGACACCAGACGTGGACATTACTCACCTCGTGTGTGCTGCGTTACATTCGCTCCACGCTTTACAGACTTTGAGATTTATGTCACGTCAAACTATTAAACATTACATCCTAATGATTGTTAAATGATGTCGTTTTGTGTGATTGTTCTGTTTATCTGTTCCTCTTCTTGTCCTCCTCATGTACAAAAGTCTTGACACATTTCACCCGTATCAAACGCTCTCTTTGCACGATGCTTGTTTTATAGTTTAAGTGCATTTTTAGTCTCTTTCTTAGAATAAAAAAAAAAGCCCTACGATGCATAATTAATGTTGTGTGAACTTCTCAGCAGTCTGCCTGTGACTGTGTACATTTCTATTAGAGCTCTTCTGTAAAAGCAGTTCATTAAATCCTCTCTAGTTTGCATTTAAATCAATCCGTGCAGCCATTAGAGGCCGGCGCTCACAGAAAAAAGGAAGCGCCTGCTCCTAACTGCAGATACGAGTTAATTCAACAGACACTCTGCTGAAAGACGCACACGAGCCAAAGGGAGGTTTTTTTTAATTGCTTAAAAATAAACACAACGACGTTCAGAGAAAACTCCACTGGCTGTTAGGGCTGAATGATGATCTCAGCATCAGAAATCAGTCATCTGAATTCTCTGGGCCTCATTCATCAACTGTTAACCAGCAGAAATGTGTTCTGTAAACCCTCTTATAGGACTTTCACACATGCAGAAATCTCCTGAAAAACTCCAGGAGGAGCTGCATGTGTGAACGCAAACAGCCGACTCTCTCACTCTGACTTCACCCGGAGTTTGTCCTTCAGATCCACAGGAACAACCAGGTCCGGGGAATATCCAGAGTTTTCTTATTTGGAATTTGTTCTTAGCTATAAGAAAAAAACATTGAAGTTCATCCACTCAAGAACGACTTCAGGGAACACCTGTTGCCTAGCACCCCACGAGGAATAGTCCCCAAAGCAGGCAGTGAGTCTCTCTCTCTCTCTCTCTCTCTCTCTCTCTCTCTCTCTCTCTCTCTCTCTCTCTCTCTCTCTCTCTCTCCTCTCTCTCTCTCTCTCTCTCTCTCTCTCTCTCTCTCTCTCTCTCTCTCTCTCTCTCTCTCTCTCTCTCTCTCTCTCTCTCTTCTCTCTCTCTCTCTCTCGCAGAGTGGAGGCCTGGAGGTGTGCAGGAAGTTTGTACGCACTCAGCGTGGTGATTTGTTTGAAAGCGCGTCAAAACATTTTGGGATTGATTTCCTACTTTCGAGTCCACTTGTGCTCACTTCAGTGAGCGATCAAAATCAACCTCTCGAGACGTGAATATTGCATAAGACAGGTAATCCATCACATCTGCGCTTCCAGAACATCTTCTCAGTGGGGCCTTCATGCACAAAACATCAGACGACCGATGCTGAGAAAACATTCACATTCTGTGTAACTGTCTGGATGCACAAAAGAGGACATCTTTTTTTCTTACAGTTTATATTGAGCTTAGACTTCATACTAAAAACATTTCTTGTTTTTTATTATTCTCTTAATTTCCATTTTTCTGGGGTGGATATTTATTTTGTACACTATTGAATTAAAGTTTAAGAAGCTTTATTAATCTCAAAAATTCTGTTTTACTCTCTGTTATTGAGAGACATGCTTCTCACACACACGGGCCTGAATCACACACATGCACAAACAGGAGCTGTGGACCTGCTTTAGTAGAGAGATGTCAGAGTTGGGCTGCTACACAGAAAGCAAACCAGAGCAGTTGGGGGTTCGATGCCTTGCTCAAGGGTACCTCAGCAGTACTCAGGAAGTGGCCTGGCAACCTCTCCAGCTACCAGACCAACTTCCATACTTTGGGACTTGACCCTGCAGTCGCTACAGACTCCACTCCATTTAATCAATATCATCATTTAATCATATCTGAAATGAAACCGCTGGTCAAAAAAAGACAAAACGAGCAAAAACAAATGTGCATGGTCGCCTGCCTGTAGCTCTGGTTAACGGCCTCCTCGTCCTGCTCTACTACCTGGATTGAAACCAGCACCAGTGGACTGATAGCATCTCGTAGCACGGCGTGGTTTGGCAGGATTTTGAACTCGAAAACGGGAGATAAAGTCGATGTAGGCTGTTTTTCTTTTTATTAAAAGGAGAAACACAAGCGTTCACTTTCCTAGGCGAGGTGTCTTAATCTACAAAATGTTGGTTTCCAAAAGCTGAACTGTGGAAAAGCAAAGATATCTTCAGGCAGATTTGATGATGTATGTTCGTTTCGTAGAAAGCCTTGTTTAAAGAATGTCAGCAATGTTTTATATTACTGCCACCACCTGGCAGGTACGCTGATTAATGTCTATTTTCCCTCCTTGTTCGTTCCCGGGCTGAAACATGTTCAGTGTAAAGGCGAGACACCGCTGACATTTCCTGCAGCGTTTACAGGAAAGCTTGTTACCATATGATAAGTTAGACATCTTTTAAAGGTGAGATTTAAGGTGTGCCATTTATCAAGGCAGAATATTTAAAGATGTACATTTGAACATTGTTATTTTCAGCTCTCTATGATCACTCGGTAGATTTTTGAAGTGAACTGAACTTTAAGATTCTCAGTTATTTCTTAATTAAGTTGTCTTTTAACCTGAACCATTGCAGCTCTAGGACACACAGTTACCCCTAAATTCCACCAGGTGCGTGTTGGACCGTCTCCGTTACTCTGAAGAAAGTTTAATGATGATGAAAGGTTTTTTGTTTTTCTGCTTTTTGTGCCTTTAATGGAGAGATAGACAGAGGAAAGAGTTGGTAATTAGGGAGCGAGAGGGAGAGAGAGGGGAATGACATACAGGAAAGGAGCCACAGGCTGGATTCGAACCTGGGCTGCCCGTTTGGAGGATCATGGCCTCCATTCATGGGGCGCGCACACTAACCACTGTGCCACTGCGCCACCAGCGCCCCATAATGATAAAAGTTTTTAAGTTAAATAAACCCTTTTAAAATGGTTTTCCTTTATAGTTTTGAATGTAGTGCTGCTTTTCAAAGAGATGCAAGATGTTTTTTAATTTGTATGTAAGTTGTTGTTTTTTTGGAGAGGAGTTTCAGACGGGGCCCTAAAGTCTGAAAAGGAGTGAAAAACTGTAAGGCATGTTTGTGCAAAGTTAAAAATTTAGGATCAAAAAGTACGGTAACTAACTCCAGAAAATAAATGCGCAACATAAGTGGAAACTTCACATCAACTTGAACGTTAAATCTGCTGTGTCTGTATTTTCTGAAGTTTCTTGCCTCTAAAACTTAAAAATAAAAGAACATTTTAAAGCGAAAGAGGATTTTCCTCTATGATTGACATGTTTTATGAACATGTAATAATAGAAGTGGATCTGATGATTCCTCTCTGTGGTAAGGTGAGCATGACTGTGAACATCCTCCTGTTGCTCCTTACAGTCAGCACCATGACTCACAGAGCCTTTCTGTCATCACTTGTAATAACTGTTCCCTTTAGTTTAATGATTCAATGGGGACCAAATTGGCTGAAACACATCAGCATCTTTTTCCAGCTTCTCTGACGTGTGACGAAGCTCCTCTCCTGGAAGTCTTTAACTGTTATTTCCTCTCTGGACGGAGAGAGAGGGGAGACGACCTGAAAGTCCCAGGATACCACCCACCCGCACACTGGTATCCACATGACAGCATCCCTCCAAACCCCGGTCTGTTTCCATGGTGACTATTGCAGCCATGGAGAGAGGAGGATGTGGGAGGAAGAGGTGGGTGGGTGGAAGACGTAAAGGGGACGTTAGAGGAAAAGACATTTAGTGGATTGTGATGTGTGATCTACTAACGGCTTATTGACACACCTCAGTTTGGCATTGTTGTGCAAAACTGTGTGTGTGTTAGAGAGAGAGTTCAGTGGGTAAGCCTTAAGAAAACCACTCACAATTAGCCACGTACGATAATCATGACTTTAATGACAACTGCTCTGCTCTTTTGTTGGATGATGTTTGGCTTAGGAA